GATGCAGTTCACATTCCCCTATCCCCCGCCCTGTTGCCCAAACACTTCCACACCTCACCCTCACCCTCACCCTCACCTTGCCCTACACCCGCGGGGCAAAAAAGCTTATAATTAGTTAAACAAATAAAATTAATAAAAAATGTAATTAATAATTTAATATAAATATATTAGTACAACTAATCAATAATTTGTATTAATATAAATATATAATTATTAGTATAAAAATATTTATGTATATATCCCCTGTCCATTGTCCCGTTTTTTAGCGGGGGAAAAGTTAGGCATTGTTTGGATTGCTTGTTTCCGTTGAAAAATATTGTCGTTTTCCGTGATCACATCTCCCTATCACCTTTTTCCCTCACATATATCAAATCGTTACAGTAATTTTTCCATGAAAAATGACGGAAAATGCAATCCAAACACAAACCCTTCGTTCCGTCCTATCCTCTACTCCATCGACCCCCACAGGCACATGAGTCTCAATTGTCATTCCTATGCATTCATTCTTCCATCAACTCTCGGCGGGGCTCATCCCTCCTAATTGTTATCCCTATGCATTCACTATTATATCTGAATGTATGATAACTAATTTCAATTTAAATTTAAATATTAAATTCTACATATATAGTGTGTATCTAAATCTATCAATGGTTACATTGGAACGTAGGAAAAATTAATCATTTTACTTATTTTAGAAGCCTAATGAATTTTTGAGACGGTAGCATGAATAATGAATCGGATTAGTGCACGTATTTACAATACCCGCTGGGAAAATCACCGCTCGATGGTATTTTGGGATGGGCTAGTGTGTCTTCACATGGGCTAGAGGCCTAAAGTTCAACAGGCCCACCGATCATAGGCACTAAAGGAAAATCGGGTCACTGGAGGAGCGCTCCAAAGTCTTGCGGCATTTTGAATGACTATTTAGATGTGCAATTGCCATTTGTATTTTGGGTCACAAACCCACTATAAGATGGAACATGATGGCCAATGGTTGTAGTCTACTGCATTTTTATTGTTTTTGGCAGGGTTCTTGGAACAAAATTGCTTTTCTCCAGCTTCGGAGTTTTATATTTAAGGGAATGGTAAATCTTCTACGCATTGTCAGTGTATACACTTAACGTGTAGGGGTGCATTCGAGGCTAGTTAAGATGAGTGATACCACACTCTAACTTGAACTCGATCGCTGACAATTAATGCTACTCGAGTTCAATCAAATAAAAATATTTAAACTCCAACTCGATTCAAGCAAGTAATAATGTAGTATATGAGATCGAGCTTAACTCAAATAAACTTGAGAATCCTTGCAAGCCATGTCGAATTCGAATTTTCTACTGATAAATTTCACAACTTCCATAGTTACAAGTGTAATTTTACATACATATTATTTTTAATTAAAAGAAAACCTAATTGCTCGAATAAACTCGTCGAACATTTGAGCCTCCTTCTCTACGTCATGTGCTCGACTTGAATTCACAAACGAGGTGCTCGAACTCCATTTGAATTTGATTTTGACCAAACTCAAGTCGAACCATTGATTGAGCTACTCATAAATAGTTAACGAGCAGCTAGAATTTCTAGTAACCTTATTTGCGGGTCTAGATGCATGCTATACATGTAAAGTACCATCTTTTTTTCTTTTAAAAATCGCCAAAGTACTTGCTAAACCAAGCAAATGCCAAATGGAGCTATGACTGAGAGGAGCTGGAAAAAAAATGTGTAAGCTATGCCAAATGGAGCTATTAGTTAGCTTTGCAGGTTAAGAAGAGAAAACGAAGTCGTGATTTTGAAAAATATCCAAAACAATAGAGCGAAAAATAATTTTCCAAACGTGAAATAGAAAAAGACAACACGGATTTTGTGGATAAACCTGAACCGTACCTTCTCAAAATTCTCCCCAATTTCCTCTTGAAAAAAAAAATCCAAGAATCAAAAGATAAGAGAAAATCTTTTTTTCCCCTCTCTCTTTTCTACTTCCACTCCATTCTTCTTGTTGCGACTCTGCATTCTGAAAATTGTAGGAGCACTAAGTCATAACCTTATTCTCCTGAAATCTTGTAACTAATGGTAACGTCGGCTTCATCATCCCTCTGCAACTCGAATTCACTCATTCATTCACCAAAACCATGGCATCCCAATTCATTTCCGCTTTCTCGCTCCCTCAGTTTACCACTATTCATCCTAAAAACTGGACCAAAGAAGAAAAATTCAGTTGAAAATGCTCGTAGGCTGAGAGTTTCGGCCTTAACAGAAGGTTCTTCTAAGAATGATGGAGAAGATGATGCCCCTTCAGTTCCTTCCTGGGCTAAGCCCGGCTCAGATGAGCCTCCTCCTTGGGCCCGTGATGAGGCGCAGCAAGATTCTTCTAGCTTTGAAGTTCCCTACTTTGTTTACTTGCTTGCCTCAGCTGTCACAGCCATTGCTGCGGTAAAGCCCCTTCATTTTTTTGAATTTAAATTCACATTTGTTTGTTACAGACTTTTTTCTTTCGTTTTCCCTGTGGAACTCGATGCTGATATAATAGACCTTTTGAATTTTGCTTGGTTTTCTTTTGTTTTGCAGATTGGTTCTGTTTTTGAGTATGCGAATCAAAGGCCTGCATTTGGAGTTTTGAACTCAGATAATGTATTCTATGCTCCATTGCTTGGCTTTTTTGCTTTCACTGGCATCCCCTCTTCGGTGAGCCAATTTTCTTTTCCAACAACTGCTCTTGTCGTTAGTAATTTGATAAATTTGTCAATAAACAATGCATTATCATTGTCAGGATTACGCTTTTCTACACTGACATTGCACAAACTTCATATACAAAGCGTTGATATGCATGACACGAGAGTTAATTAAAGAAAAAGGAAAAAAATGAAAAAGATTTTGTGGTCTTATGGAAGTTCAGTTCCCATGTTAAAAGCTTACCACTTCTCTTGTATAGATAAAGTAGATGCACTCGCTGAACAATTCAATATTGCTGCTCTATAATACCCTTATTGTTAAAATTCACGGCTGTTATTCTTGTCTGTCTATTGTTTGTTTTTCCTCTTTCGGAGAAGGGGAAGAGGAAAGGGGCGCTTTCTCAAGCTAGGAAGTAGAATGATTTGGGTGGTTCTTGATCTCTATATCGCTTCTGAAGACTTTGCATTCGTTACAATTTGACCTCATCAAATTGCTTTAATGTTGCTGTTGATTTAAGGCTATTTTTCTGTCAGAATCTAGCTTATCAAATACCTTGAAAGGCTTAATGTCACTTCCTGCAAATTGTTAAAGATACAAGTAAAACTGTTTTAACATCCTGGACCATCTTTAATGCTCTTGCATTGCAAGTGTATAATAGTGAAAGCTTTACTTAAACTTGCTACTGCTAATTAACCAGATATTTTTTTTGGTAATAAAAGATGCATAACATTAAAGGAAACTAGGCATTAGTTCAATAGAACTACAAATCCGGGGAAACTAACTACCCTTGAATCTTCATTCATAAAAGATGCATAACATTAACCAGATGTATTTTATCCAGGCATTCCTTTGGTTCAAAGCAGTTCAAGTTGCTAACAAGGAGGCAGAAGAGCAGGACCGCAGGGATGGTTACTTATAGTATTTCAGTTGTAGTTTCCAAATATAGGATGCCTTCCACTTGACTCTTGTTGGTTATATGTGACTGGTTGTATTAAGGCCTTGCATGTGCTGGTAAGATATATTTAGATGCTATGTTTTATATGCGTGTCACCCATGGTATAGTTAGCTAGCTGTCTCAAGCTGGAGCATGAAGTTATTTTCTTTTCCGTGTAAAAGACAGTGGTAAACATTTTAATACTGATCAACGATTTTAGCTACATGAGCCAGAGACAGCTGGGAAAATGACTTTGGGAGCATGTTAAACTTATTGCGTGGCCATCATTTATGATTTGTCTGTTGCAGGCTGGTTCTATTTGCTTGTCACAGAATGAAATCAGTTTTCTACTTGGAAGAGCCCGTAAACTAGCTGAAATGGTTTCATTGGTGAAGTTCCATTGGTTGGAAAGAATTCGTTTGTCATGGAAAAATATTCAATTGAATTCTATCCGTAACTCGTCATAATAGCACTGATTCTTGTTATTGCTGGTATTGTTATTGTCATAATTATAATCTCATCACCATTATTATCAAGATTGTCTTACTTATCTGAGAGTTTGGTGTCATAAGGAATGAAGAAATCATCGGAGTGTTTCAATTGGCTTGTTATGAATCAAAATGGTACTGTTTAAGTGTATATTATGAGCAACGAGATGTTTATATCACGAACAATTCTACCATCAGCTTGGGAACATGATCTCGCGGGTGAGATAATTGCCCTATGGGACTGCAATTCTCCTAATATATATGCTTGTATTTTGTCTGAAAATGGATCTCTATTCAAATTCAAGATAATTTCATGTCCAAGATTGTTGTTTAAAGTTTTGGGTAAGTTGTATATTTAAGGTATTTTATGTGTCAGAGTGATGCTGTTTTTGTAAGAATTGATTTGTGTTAGTATACATTTTTATTTCATTCTAGCTGCTGTAATTTTTGGAGAAATAGAATAAGAAAGTTAACAAAGTTGCACTCACGAAGCTTGTATAAGTACAGCATGGGCTTCTTCAGAGCTGTCTTCGGCTTTGATGTTATAATTTGACATTTCAATTTTTGGAGCCTTCACCGATGCCCCCTAAGGGAATCTGTTTCTTGGACGACATTGGATAGGGTGGGTTACTTGTATATGTTCTCAACATGCACATTGCTTCCACGTGATTAGAGTGTGGTTTGCAGACTTTAAGTAAAGAATTAGGAAGTGTGCTTTCCAGTCAAAGACCACACTCCGTTTCCGACCTTTGTCTACATTACATAGCTGCTTCTATGTCAATTGAACCTGGTTCTGCAAATAAGCTTTCTGTAACAGCTACACAAGAAAAAGTACGACAGGGAATGCAGAGAGCTCAATGGCTTAGAGCAGCCATTCTTGGTGCAATGATGGTTTGCTTTCGGCTGCATCCATGATGCTCAGAATAGGTGCAGCAAAAGACGATCAGGAGTCCATGATCATTTCGGGGACTGCAGTAGCTCTTGCAGGTGCCTGCAGCATGGCTGTTGGAGAGTTTGTTTCTGTCGCAACCCAGAGGGACATCGAAAAATCAACAATCCACAAAACTTGTTCAGATGGTAAGTTGCACGACCTGCAAGTTGGTGATAATATCAACATCCATTTTCTAACTCCTCATCCATCTGTGCCAGAACCAAACAGATCTCCATTTGTAAATCTGGCCAGCGAAAGTGAGTCATCGCAAGGGAAATTGTCTCCATGGTAACAGATGCAAGAGCAAGTATGGCAAAGCAAGTTGATGGCAAAGAGGAGGCCCTGCCTAATCCATACAAGGCTGCGGCAGCATCAGCCTTGGCTTTTCTTTGTGGATCGGTGGTTCCCCTAGTGGCTGCTGTGGCGATATCTCAATACGGAACCAGGATTGTGATAATAATGGTGGTAACAACTATTGCTCTGGTGTTGTTTGGGGGACTTGGAGCCCTTCTTGGCGGTTCACCCATAAGATTATCTGCAATGAGAGTTCTAACAGGAGGATGGATATCTATGTCCGTCACATTTGGCTTGATTAAGGCTTTTGATGGAGATCATAAAGCTCATAAATCATGATGATTCTGCATCTTTGGCTATCAACCATAAAATAAGGAAATCTGAATTAGTACACACACTCTACACTGTTTCTCCAAAATAATTAAAGCCAAGTTCAAGCAATCATTAATTTTCACGAATTTGAATTGAAACACAGACACCAGACTCTTGAAGAAAGCGTTCAAATTATTGTAATGTTTGCCAATTTACAAGAGGAAATTCTGCACATGCCCGAACAACTAGTGGATATGGCCTCTGTGTAAAACCTTCCTAGGAAAGAGATGTACCACATTCTTCTTCTTCTTCTTCTTCTTCTATTTAAAAGAAAGGTCATCTTGTTACTATTAAATAGCTATCATACCATATAGATATAATCCTTGTTGGGAGTTCAAAGAGAATCAAGGGCTTTATATGTTTGGATTCTCTGTAAGAACAAATTGGACAATCATTAAGGAAATTCTTTGTCAAGTCGTGTGAGGGATCCGGTGAAGTGTCACCATTGTAGTATTTGTTTTTACCTATTTCTTAGGAACCATCTTAACTATGTTGGCGTGGAAATGGAAATGCATTGGTGGTGCTTGGTTATTGACTCTGCCTAATGATACCTCCAATACAAGTGCTGATTCCAACCCTCCTAGGAAATGGCATAGCATGCCCGAATCCTTCCATGGATGACTTTGGAATATCCCATCATTTTCAATAGGAAGGGAGCGAAAAGCCAAAATTGGTTACATAGTGAAGAAGATTCAGTTGGTTCAAACTCCATAGCATCGATCCATTAATCAACTGCAAATTTCTTCTTCGAGACGTATGTTCCTTAATTGCTTATGGGAGAAAACTTTTCATCTTAGATTGTCTTCACAACACTAACCTAAATGACGTAGAATACATTAAACTTCTTTAAACTGACACAGACATTTGAAAAAAAATTAATGCAAGTCAAGACTTGGTTGGTTGTCTTTGCATCCAACCATTGCTACCTTTTGAATGTAACTACACCTCACAAAAAACTGACGTTTATTGGGACGATTCCTTGGCTTGTTTGTTCAAATAACAAGAAATGAATTTAAAAGGGTTCTAGATTTCTTTTCCTTTGGCAGCATTTTCTTGTGTGCATCATCTATTTACAGTAGAAAAGTAGAAACGATATGCATCCAGTAAGTTCACCTTGCCTAAAATGAGGCAATATTGAACTTAGCATGCAGGCATTTGACTAACAAAGATAACTCCAATCTCGATACTTTGATCGAGAGAGAGATAGAGGAAGAAACGAGTGGCATGGGAGAAACGGTAGAGATATGAGATCAGTGCCCATCATCAGATCAGATAAGAATAAGCAATAGCTGAAGTCTGCTACCAGTTTCCATAATCAAGAAGGGAGAACGTGACAAGAGGGTGTGGCGCGGTGGTTGTCATTTACTACTACTACTACTTTGATTGACAAATAGTAGTATTAAAAATCGCAACTATTATGTTATATCTTCCTTTCTTACAAGCTACCACTTCAGAGCCAGTGTCCACATCTTGTTTTCTCATTATTCACACATACAACTATTAATATCTGAACAGCAAACCGTGAGTCCATCTTTATAAAATGCAAAGATATATTTTCTACATCTTTCCGTTTATAGAAAGATAGGAAGTAGTCAAGGTCATGGGTACCTCCTAAGTCCTCACAACAAAGCCCTGGACAAGGCCTCAAATTTTGAACATCATGGACAAACAAGAAATGCAAGAACAAGTTTTAACCACCCCTGTTCTCCCAAGATTAGACCGCCTTGATCGCCCTGTAAATCATTAGCCATTTTCGTAATTTTTGTTAAATTTCTCTTTTCCTTCGACTACATATATAGTTTCTTATCGAGATGCTTCAACATCTAGTAGAACTACTTTCTCATTTTATTTTGTGTCATTTTGGTACGTACTTATGAATTTCCTTGTAGATATTTGCACAACTGGTCATTTTCCTGACTGCAACAAATTATAATTGATGCAGCTGCAGCTTCTGGAAGAGAAGCATAGTCTGTCAGCAAGACATTCGAACAATCCTGTCGTCCAAAAAGTTAAACAAGAGGATGATCAATGCAAAACTTTGTCTTCAGTTCATCTACAGTTCCAGGTTCTGAAAAGTTAGATCATGGTTTTACATCTTCTACAGGTTCAGGAAGGCAAGATGAGAATCATGAAGCTAATATCACCCTCCAGGGGAATCAGAGTCCTGTTGCATTTAGAGCAAGACACACGGCTATGCTCGTGATCCATAATGTTTAAAAAGTTTGTTGGATTCTTCTAAACTTTGCCGGGAGGAACCTCATGAATGATTAATGAATAATAGTATGGCCTATGGCCAATTTGGAAGACCAGGACCGGGACTCTAGCTTAGCATGCGATGCAGAGAAGAAAGGTCACAAGAATGGCCCAAGACAGAGTGAGAAAGGTTACAAAAGATTTCTGGGATGCTAAAAGAAGATTCATGTCCTGGAGAACAATCTGGGAGAAACACCAGTCCATCTTCGATCGTTAATTATCAATGGACTGAAATTTGGAGCTTTGCTTCTGCTGAGTACTGTTACTCTGATAAGCATCCTTCTCTTTGATCAAGGCAATAGAATCAGATCCATAGACAACGGACAGCTAATGTTTAACAATGAGTCTCAACTGTCAACTAACTCCAAATAAATACAACTTTTATTACGGTTTTATGGACCATCGAACGTTGTTATCTTGCTTTTAATAAAGACGATTAGTGCCACCTTGTGTTAGGTGGATCATCACAATTATGACCGCATAACAGTAGCTAACAATCAAAGCGTGTGTTTGGATAGCAAATTTTTTGAAATAATTACTGTAGTATAGATTATGATGTGATGTATATAAGATAAAAATATAATAAAAAAATTTGATTAAAAATGCGTTTATGATGCAAGTAAATACTAACTCCAACTTTGTAAGCAACAAAACATAAAAAAAAAAAAAAAAAACTTTGTAAGCAACAAAGAGAAAGAAATGAAAAATACTAGTAACTCTGATACAAGCAAATACTAACTCCAACTTTGTAAGTAACAAAAAAGAGAAAGAAAAGCAAGCAGCAAAGGGAAAGAAATGAAAAATATTAATTGACTCTTAAACTTTGTAAGCAAGCCATTGAAGAGTGAATTAGTTCAACTAAAGCTTCTAAAGCTGTTTTACCACTGACTATTAACATTTTCAAAACCTTCATGACGAAACCTCAAATTTTATTTTTTGCATTTCTGTTTGGGACTTGCGGCGGTGATTAATTAAAACTTGTTCAAGTACTAAAATGAGAAACCTCTGTTCAAGTGCTAATAAAATGAGAAACATGAGGATCGGGCTCCCGATGATTATTTGATTTAGGCCGAGGAAAACATTTCGATAGCTAGTGATTTAGGACCCCAAAAAAAAAAAAAAAAAGTCAATGAGAGTTGGCTCGACGGGTAAAATTACACTACTAGAATCATCCATTTTGCATCGCCATCACCCCATGTCTCATTCATTCTCAAGGCCCAAAATTAAAAATAAAAATAAAAAAATAAAAGGAAAGAAAAAAGAGTAGTCTTCATTTTTCAAGTTTTCTTTTTTTTTTTTTCCTCTTTTGTGTAGTATTAATTCTTCGATCAATGCAAATTTTAACATTATTTGAAATATTTCTTTACAAACTAGTACTAATAAGTTTCAATTTTTTTTAAAATATAGTTTGGTAGTGACGTATATATAAGAGACGTAAGCGAAAGTAAGCATACAAGTCACAAAATTTCCAAATGGTGGAAGGCACCCAAGTGAGGCACCAGACACCAACTTTGTCATCTCTTAACTTGACGGCACTCTTCTCATTTTCTGTTGGCTCTTTTGTTTCTGGCTCTGCATAAATAATAACGAAGTCCTGGTTCTACTTCTCGGTCTCAAGATCATCAGCATATGGCGACGACGGAGATGAATGGAGAATTGTTAGCTCACAAGCAACCGCCGGAGCAGTCGACGGCGCTGGAGTTCAAGGGAACTCGAGGCTCATTATTTCATACGGTCCTGGCGCTGATATTTTGGCTTGGCTCGGTTCACTTCAATGCCCTTATCGTCTTCGCCTCCTTCATCTTCCTTCCATTCTCCAAAGCCCTCGCGTCAGTCTTTTTCTCTCGCTCTCTCTGTTCTCTCTGTGTGTGTGTCTAATATATATTCTTTGTGAAGTGTTTGAAATTGTTGTCGTAATAAAAAAAATTTTCAGGGTAATTGGATTGCTGGTGATATTTATGGTGCTTCCTATTGATGAGAGGAGCAACTGGGGACGAAAATTAGCTAGGTTAATCTTTAAAAATTTTGTTTTATTTCAGATAATGACAGACAAACTTGGGAGTTCATTTAATTGGTGGCGTTTTTTTTTGTTTGGTAAATTTTCAGGTATATATGTAAGCATGCTTGCGGTTACTTTCCCGTTTGTTTGTATGTGGAGGACTATAAAGCCTTTGATCCTAATCAGGCTTACGGTATTTGCCTTCCCTTTCAAGTCAAGATCAACTTTTTTCAGGCTCGCTGTAAAGATCATCATAATTGATGGGGTGGTGGTAAATAGTACCGTATCTTCTGGAACATTTACTAGAAGGGTAGTCGAAAAAGCTAATGACACTTGTCTTTAGTAAAGGAGTCTTGACCAAACCATGATAGTTTTCGACGAAACCCAATTCTAGATAGTACAGATCATGACTTGATTTATAAGGAATGCTCTAATCATTCAAAAGAACTTTTACATTTGATCTTTATAAATCAAGAAATTTCCATCCGTTAATGATTTACTGCATTTTAGCTAGAGGAAGACATTAGTTATGAACCCAATGAGGGTCCAAGTTTCTGAGAATGACTATTAAGGTATCGAGGCAGACAAATTTCACTAGCTTTCTTTCTTTATCTCGCTTGATCCCCTTTTCCACTGCAAATCTTCCCAGCCTCATGCATTTATTGAAGCATGTTTTGTTGGGAAATATCCCCTCTCCCAGCACTTTCCATGAAAA